ATGACACAATGGAAAAAACCTAAAACAAGTAGTCCTATTTCAAACCACATTTACTTACCAATAAAATTTCGTTATTGTGACACTTTCTCCGGTTTATAGGACCTCTCTCATATTCTATCTTGTCATATCTAAACTCATAGTCATGTATGTCCTCTAACCATCTCATAACGGTTTCCAAACCACTTTTATCGGATGTAAAGTAAAAGCATGGATGGTTATGTAAAACGTCTAAAGTTTCTAAAGAGTCTCTCAAAGTCCAGTCTACTTGGTATTGAAAATCCCATGTGTTATAGAACGGCGGGTCCACTATAAAGAAAACATTTTCCTTGTCTTTATATTTTTCATACAAATCTGTCCAATGACATCTCACAAACTCTATACCCTCAATATATTTTTCTATGTTCTTTTTGAAAACATTTGTATAGTTAAGATATAAAACTTTTGACATAAGTGTTTCAATGTCATGAACTCTTATAGAACCACTATATAATAGTCTAGCAGATATACTATCCCAGTCTATATATTCTGCTTTTTTCAAAACCTCTCTCACAATATTTTTCTTATCTAATGGTATACGTTCCATCTTACCTATAGGTATCTTTTCTTTTAACTCTTTCAATATATTGTTTGTGTCTGGAATATGTTTGAGACGGTCCATATAGTTGTCGAAGTCATTGCATATAATCTTTGAGTCTGGGAATATTGTATGGCACAAATGGGACATATAGAAACTTCCACCGAACAAATCTACAAATGTTAGACCATTCGGTAGTTTCTTAAGTTCTCTCAATATAATATCTTTACATCTACTCTTATTTCCAAAGAAGGGTAACGGTGGTTTTGTAAAATTCATTTATATATAATAATAAAAATGTTTTTACCCGAAAAGTGACAGAAAAGTGACAAAACATGAAAACATATATAATTTGTGAAAAGCGACACATTATATAATGTTTTCGACCCAGAAGAAGGCTTCTTCCCAGAAGCAATGGAGGAAGAAGAAGAGTCCTCCGAATTCACACCAGAAGACTAACAATTTTCCGAATAAAAACTTCATTTATACTAAACATCTTCGGGGCTAGAGGGCGCAACGCGCCTGGAAGCCCCACTACCTTTTTTTTTTAAACTTTTACTAAAATCATTAGTTAGAACATTATTATGCACTCGAGCTATAAAACTATTTTTTGCAAATAAATTTATGATTTCTCTTTTCCTTACTACTGCATCCTCAGCGCCAGAGACATGTCTTACTATAGAATCGAATGAAAGGCATTATTTGAACCCAGTCAGTGGTTCAGTATTCATTAGAAACGGTAATTTTCAAAAATTAACATCAGATATCGGAGGAGCTTTAAATATAGTAGGAAACGTACAAATCATTATCGAAAATAGTCGTTATTCCTCATGCCGTGCAGACTCAAATTCGAATGGCCAAGCCGGAGCAATTTATATTAACACAAGGAAATTCGCAGTACTACGAGAAGTCTGTTGTTTGAACTGTACCGCTCGAAGTAGCTGCAATTGCTTATATTTATCAACAAATGTTAACGAAAAAAAAGGTTCATTTTACAATCTTAATAACTTTTTCGGAACATATTATCCAACACCAGATGTATCGTATGTAGTTTACACGAATTTCGGTGATCAATACTTCGAAGGCTGTAATTTTTCACAAAATAATGTTTATTGCGGAATTGGACCAGCAATTAGATCTGCATCATCATTAAAGATATTAACAAATACGATATATAATTCTACATCAATGTTTAAAGGTTTAGAAATAAATATTCATAAACCTCTTCAAATCAACAGAATTATGTTTATTTCAAACGAAATTACGACATACGATGCACTCTTAAGTGTTGATCATTCTACTGTAGAAATATTTGAGTCAACTTTCTTTGATAATCACGTTTATTTCTCAATTTCTAACTCTAACGGAAATGTTGCAGTTTATAATTGTTACTGTGACATTCTTGATGTTTCTGGTGCAGTTTCTTTCTCAACTTCTCCTATTTACACTGAAAATTATGTTATTCAATATCAAGAAGCACAATCTTGTTTCTTCCAAGCAAACAAACGTCTTTCAATAAAATTTGGTGATTACGAACAAGGAAAATCATGTTTCGATCAATTCAGCCGCTATCCTTCGCCAACACAATAATTTGAAACAAAATAATTTGAAAAAAAATCTATTTTTACTCGCTTGACAAAAAAAAGTTGATAAAAAGTGATCTTTTTAATAAATCATCATTTGAGAGGAAAATTGATTACTTTTTGACACAAAAACCTCACAATGTCAAAAACTTTGAAAAAGGTGTCAGAAAGTATTCAAATGTATATATTTCTGACAAACAGAGTCTCAGAAAGTACTCAAACAGTGATTTTTAATTTCCATACGCTTTTTATCGATCTTACACATTCTTTATATATTTTGTTGAATAAATGTAACTCTTGTTTCTAAATGAATGTCTCGAAAGTACTCTCTATATGGTTGGGGTATGTTTCAAACTTAGAAAGCCTAAACTAAGATATAGATAATAATTAAAATGATAGAAAATCAAGTTAATGAAGTTATGAGTAAAACCATGTATTATTGTTTATGATGTATTGCAAATTTTTGTATGAGTGTTCGTTAAGCAGACATAAACCATGAAAATCAATTTAAGTCTTTCAATTACACTCTCGATAGTTTCATACCCAATGCAGAAGCGAGACGATTATTTTGCATTCAATTTGTGCATAAAGTAGTCAAAAATGAGTATTCTTTTTGAACCCAATGAAAAACTTTTTTTACTAAAATAAACAAAAGAGAATTAATGAAATGAAACGGATAGAGAATTCTGTTCTTTCTTACTCCTTCACACAGATATGGTGAGAATTATGTTCTTTCTTACCTCGCAAAGTCACTTTTTTTGCTATAAGAGATATATAATGTCATATTCTACTAGCTGTTTTCATAACATTAGTTAAATGCATGATATCCAGCTCAATAAGTTCAGATATTAAAAAAAAATATTAATTTAATTAATAACTTAGCAAGAAAGAAAGTAATTAAAAATAAAAGGTAAAATGATGATTCTTTATAAACTCTCTTTATTGTTAAAATGAAAAATGAAAAAAAAGAAAATGTAGTTAGGCGATAGTATAGATATAAATATATGAATATATATGTATATGAATATCGCCTCATTACATGATAACAAACACTTTATATATAAATATAAATAAAAAAATTAAACAAGAGATTCGATCATACTAGTTATACTGTTCAATGCTGGAAGAACAGAGTCTTCACACTCATCAACACTTTCATTTGACTCTTTAGCCGCTTTGTCGATGTCTAAATAAGTCTTCGCAAAGTCAAGTAAACGACAATCAAATTTGGATGGATCATCTTCATCATACGCGAAGACAATCGAGCTAGAGTACATGCGAGCACCAAACTGTTCGCGCATTTTAGCCATAGATGTCTTCAACTTATTGAGTTTTTCAACAAAAATAGGAATTTGGTTTGGGTAGTGGAAGAAATCTTTCAAGAAGTCGAGAAACTCCGACTTAGAGCATGAATTACCCCATTCGCGTTTAACACAGTTGATGTTCTCTTCAACAGGCCACTTATCTGGTGTACGAGAGTACCACATAGCGGCACGGACACGTACACAAAGCTCCGATGATGTAGGGCATGAGCATTTCTTCTTCATACGCTCACGCTTTATTTTAGAGGCACCTAACGCCCAAGTTCTAGTTCCAAGTTTCACGTCTAGAACAGCTGGGCGTGAATAACCATCTGCAATGTCATGCATCATAAGGTATGGTTCTGATTTGTGATTGATTTCAATGTCGCGCTTGACTTCAAGATCAACTTCGTCATCTGAACTAGATAAGTGAACGTTGTTGTCGTCAACAATGCCTTCAACAGAAGGGATGAGTTCGGGCTCTAAGATATTATGCAAACTGCCTACATATGTTTTATAAAATTTCAACTCACGAATTAATTTGCATTTCTTCGCAATGTATCCTTCCCTGAATGGGATAATAACACCATCATGACCAAAGATTTTAGAGCGAAGTAATTGCCCTTGGCTATGGTCTATGTGCAAAGTCATACGAGATGTCATGGTCTAATTTTTTTTTGAACGATGAAAAAAAAATTTTTATAATCAAAATTTAATCGTTTCAGTCAAAAATCAAATTCATTTGAAGCATCAAGAAAGTTTATAATGACATTAAAAGAAATACAAATATGATTAAAATAAACGTGAACGAATAAACTTTTTGTTTCTATTAAACCGCCCCAAAATCTTCATAAAATATAAAAATAAGTTTCAATTTTTTTAAAGGAAATTAGTGTGTATGCAAACTAGTTCTCTGCGATAATTCTTTGAATGATTGAAAATTTATACACATTTGAATGGTATTCTCTCAAAAGTAAAATCAGAAATGTCATCCATCAGCAGTATTATAAGAATAGCAATTAATCGTTACTGATTTTATGATCACGCTTTCAATTTATAATCAATCAAAATTAACGTCCAAATTTGGACTTAATATTTGTAAAGCATATATGAAAAGGTGTTACTTCGTCAAATTGAATGCCCGTAAAATTTTAGAAGTTGGATAATTTTTTATTGAAAGCTGATTAAATCAGAAAATAATTCACATACAATGAAATGTAACTATATTAACATACGATAAATCATAACAAAAATTCACTCCAAATTAAAAAAGTAAAATCTTCATTTTATATTCGCAGTGTCCTGGACAGCTAAATCGCAGATTGACGATTCAGAAGACTTCACGTATACATGAGAATACTAACTCATTAATTTTTACTATATTAACATGATAACACATTTACTTTATTGAAGAAACAGGCTAAGTGCAGAACCTGGTTGCTGATTTGGATTAAGATTATGAATCTTTTTCTAGTTCAGACTATTATCAGATAAATATTTTTTTCATTATTTTAAATTACAAACAAAATTTTTATTATAAATTTACAAAGTCATACTTCTTATAAGTGAATTGAGTGAGTAATCAACATTGTTCTTCCTGATAAATGCCGAATTATTGATTGCCGGTGTTTGTTCTACCTTTGGATGTGGATTAAATTCAAAATTAACTGGAGTTCCTTCAATTCTGTTACCAGCATCAATAACAAATGACTGTTCTTTCTGGTGCTCGATATCTGTCGATGAAGTTTCTTCTTGGCTCTTTGTTTTTCTTAATTTCTTTGTTTTTTCTGGAATTTCTTCGACAACTTTCTTTCCTTTCCTCTTTGTATTAATTTCTTTATCTGAGTCATTAGTATCATGTTTCTTTCCCTTCTTTTTGGGCTTTTCTTCAACTTGATTTTCTTTTGAAGCTTTACTTCGTTTTTCTTTTGGTTTTTCATCATCTGGTTCGTTGTTTTGAGCTTTGCGACCTTTTCTCTTCGGTTTTTCTTCAATTTCGTTTTCGATTTGCTTTGATTTCTTCTTTTTCGGCTTTTCTTCTTCTAAATCTTCCTGAACAGATTTCCTTCCTTTCTTTGTAGGCTTAACTTCTTCGATTTCTTCTGTTTTAACCTTCTTTCCTTTCTTTTTAGTTTTTTCTTCTTGAATTTCAAGATTTTCTTCGACAACTTTCTTTTTCTTCTTTGGTTTTTCTTCTGGTTCTGCAGGAATTTGCTTTTTTGCCCTCTTTGACACTTTTTCTTCATCATTTTCTAAATTTTTAGATTTTGATTTTTCAGATTTCACCGGCAAAGGTTGGATTTCTTGTTTCTTTGCAGCTGCATTAGCAATTGAATTAAATTCCCAATCCATTTCTCCGAGTTTCTTATTCTTTCTTACAGATCTTCTTGAATTCACAGTTTCTTGTTCTTTTGGAGACTCGGTGACCTTTCTAGACTTAATCGTTGGCTTCTGTTCTTCTTCCTCTTCCTCTTCTTCGTTCTCTTCCGTTGGATCATCGAAGTTCCACTGTTTCATCGAATGAAGATTTGAACTTTTAACAGGATTCTCTTCATCTTCGCCACTATCATCATTGAAATTCCAATTCTTGACTTCCATTTGGTTCTTTTGTTTACTTTTGCTTCGAAGATTTGATTGATTTTCTTTTTTAGCTCTTCTTGAAGCAATTTGAATCGGATGGACACTTCCGTAGTGGCTCTGTGTCTCAGTTACTGTTTCTTCAATTACTTCGTATGCTTCTGTATGGTTATCTCCCTCTAATTTCTTTTGAGTCAAAACTCGGGGAAATTCAATGGAAAATCGGCCACAAAAAACAGAAAATGGCTTATCAAAGGGATTATTGCTATCATCGGTACGAGCAGTATACTGGTATCTTGTTAATAACTCAGTTTCCTCTTCAGGAGTCATCTTTCCTTCATTCGTGAGTCTCATTATATCTTCATAAGGCCAAACAATCGAAACATGACGACCATTCTGTACAAGAGTTGCTGCGCATTCATTAAAAGGTGATAATGATGTAGCGTTTGTCCCTTGGAAAGCAATTTTTTCGATCATTTTACATTGTGACAGTTTTTCTCCCATATATTTAATTTCTGCGTTCGAAATCTTCTGGTACGCGATATCAAACTCCTTAAGGGATGGTAATAATGGCAACATATCGCATATAGGAGTGATATCATCCAAAGAATTTTCTTTTGTACCTTCAACTTTGAGAGTTTCTATGGAATTATTGTTGTCTAACAGCATGCAAAGGTCTCCTATGGGTATTTTACTGGGACATCCGCACATACTGACGTATTTTAATTGACATTTTTTAAGAAATACAATTAAATTGGAATTTGTCATGTTTCCATCCCATACAAGTGCTGAAATATTGGATGCGGTTGCTTCTTGAGTGAAACTAGTGATGCTTTTCTCAATTTCGTTGTTAATAATTTTGGTATTTGCAACTGAAACGGTAATTCTGTTGGGATGTGACGCGCAAAGTGTCATAAACCTTGCAAATTCGTTGCTTCCCCATTCTATATCGTCTGCAACGACGTGTAAAAGTTTTTGTGGTAATTTCGAAATTATTTGGCCACAAGATTTGGAATGTACGCATAAATAGTGTATATTATGAGATGGATACTTCGTAATTGCGTTTATAACACCTCCAATTGTTGTTTCTCCGCAATCAATGATACTTAATGAGTGAATATCTAAAGAAAATGGAGCAAAAGCCTCAATATCGAGGTCTTGTATTCCTTGTAATGTCAATGATCGTAAATTGAAGAAGCATTCATGAGAAGTTATGTTGAGAAGCTGTTTATTTGAAATTGATTTCGCAAATGTCAAACTTGTAATTTTGTTTTTCATAACAACTGAAAATAATACGATCAATTCTACGTCCGATATCTCTGCTTTTACGAAAGATAAGGAACATAAGTTCGAATTTTGTATTTGAGTGAATCTTTCGATGAAATTAGGGAAGAATTGGGTCGGCCCATGCTTGAATGTAAGTTTTTCGATCTTGCTGGAAAAATTAAAATATTTAGATAAAATTTCAAAAATATCGAATTTTGTAATGGGATTAAATACTAAATGCTTGAATCCTGAGTTCAAACAAAGTGAATTAAAGAAGATAGGAAAGATTTCTTCTTCCATTGGTAAGTTGTTGAATTTAAAAGAATCATTTTGGTAAAAAACGTCTGTTTGTATATTTCCAATACTTGAAATGTCAAGAGGTTCCTTTAATTGGCTGAGCTGTAGCTGCAGACGCCATAGAAATGATTGAGGTGTTGAATCTGGTAAATTTGGAAATTCGTTTGGAAGAGATATAGCTGAAAACTCTTCTTCGGTTAGAAGTCTATGAGCTTGAGAAACTATTTGAGTAACTAAGTTCTTAGTATTACTTGATGTAAATTTTAATTGTTGATCTCCGAAATCTAAGTTAGCAATAGAAATTTGGATATATCCAACAAGCTTAAGATCGAGAAGGGAATACATGTGTGTTATTTTACATTTATTAAACACATTTTTTGAGGCGATATATAATGAACTTTCAGCCAATGCAAGAACGCATGGAATAAGCTTCTGCTTTTTCCCAAATTTATCTATTTTTTCAATAAAGATAAACTTGATTCCATTCTCTATCGCCAAATTATTTAAAAACGCATATAAATCATCCATCTTTGTCACTTTTTTATTCATTTATTCTCAATGAACAAATATGCTTTTGTATATGAAACTTTCATTGTTTTTTGATAAATCTTTCTTATTAATCGTCAAATTCAATTGTTAATACCTCTAAATGTTATTGTCATTTTATTAGAAATTCAAAATTAAGAAAATTACGTGCAGAAAAGAAAAGTGGAGGAGCCTACCAGACACTGATACATAATCAGTGCTTTGTTGGCTCCTATTTCCTCTGGAATTGAAGGGTGAGATGTATATAATATGTCTATACACTGCCCATTTTCGAATTTTATCGAGGGATAATGTGAGGTTCATGGAAAAGTGACGATCATTTTCCGAGTCCACTCGGTATATATCGTTCACATATCAAAATCAAACAAACCTTTCAAAAATTGAACGGGAGCCCGTTAGATTTCCTGATCCATAAAAATATGTAACATTAAAAAAGCATCTTTGAATTGTAATTGAAAATTACGATTTTTCGTGTGACTTTTTCCCTCAATTTTTGAAAAAGTCAGCGTGAAAAACTTACCACCTTTTTTACATTTTTGAATTGAAAATTCAAAAGTGTAAAAAGGATCGTCATTCTTTACGCACTTTTTCAATAAAATTTTTCATTTTTATTTTGAATACTTCACAAATTGAAAAAGTGAAAAAGAACTGATTCTTTTGATCTTCAAAATTTTTGGAATCAAATTTTACATAATTCGATTCCAAAAATTTTGAATTGAAAAAAGAATTTTTATGTAATGCATGAAAATTCGGTTCAATTCATTTTTGACACTTTACATATCGGATGTATTATCTAAGAATTATATTATAAAATAATAATTTTGTGTTTTATAAGTTTATTTGTATAAATTGATTCAAAAAAAATGGAAAGACAAGAAGTGGATCTGCCAAATGAAAATCAGTTTTTGAACTTTGTATAAGGAATTGTTGGCTATGATGTACTGATCATGAATCAGTACATCATAGCCAACAATTCCTTCCCAAACAGCGGGAAACTTTGTCTGAATGTTAAACTATTCAGACAAAGTTTTCCGCTGTCAGAGAGGGAATGGAAGGGTAAGAGGTATATATTCATAATGTATACCTCTTACCCTTTCATTCCCTCGAGAAAGTTCAAAAACTTGGGTGCAATCAGAACTGATTGCACCCAAGTTTTTGAACTTTGTATAAGGAATTGTTGGCTATGATGTACTGATCATGAATCAGTACATCATAGCCAACAATTCCTTCCCAAACAACCCGAAATTTGTCTGATTCCACACTAATTTTATTAATTTATCTAAACTTTTATCCTCTTCTACAATTTAATCATCAATAATTATCTCTTGTTCTATTTCACTATTATATATATATATTTATATGATTTGATTTAAAAAAAATAAATAAATTAATAAATCATTTACTCAAATATATCAAAAGTTTTATTTTTATATATAAAGATAACTACTTTTAAAAAAAATACCCTATATATTTTGCCATGTAAACTATTTTTGTCATGTAAACATGTCACTTTTTGTCAGAAGTGAAGTGAACCGAATTTTCATGCACAACAAAAAAAGAATTTTTATTTTCATAAACTCTAATCAAATTAATTGACACTTTTTTACAATGTGGTGTTTTATGATATTATTGTTGAAAACAATGAAATTAAATAGCAATTTTCAAAATATAGTCCAAAAACATATATCAACTATGAATAATTTACACTTTGATCAATCACCTAATAATGTTTGGGAACTCTTTTACAATACTCCACCTAATTCAGAACCAATTCAAGGTACAAACGTGGAAGCGACATCAACAAATGATGAATGTTTCTTATATAAATGTTTGTTCATTGATATTACAACTAAGAGTGCCATTTATTTTAATTCTTGGGAGAAAAAGTTTCTTAACTCTGATTGTTCATTTAATAATTGCAGTAGTAATACAGAAGGTGGATCTATCTACTTTAATTGTGATAGTTCTATTGTCCAATATCGATCATGTGGCTACAAATCAAAAACAAACTCTGATAGAGGACATCATTCATATGTTTACATAATTAGAAATTCAAATAATAATAAAAATTATCTTTATGAAAGTTCTTTTAATGAATGCGGAAATTTAAAAAAATCTTATACAAATTTTCTTGGGGTATTATTATTGTCGTCTGGCGGTTTTAGACGACAATGCGAATTTTCAAATAATAGGATTTTTAGCCAGATAAAGAGCTACTCCATATATCATGCGTGTTTGCATACTATATACATAGATGGAATTGATGTTCTTCCTTTATTTAGGTACTGAAACATGCTTGAAAAATCTATTTTTTAGACGACAATGATAATTTTGTCACTTTTCCAGACGACAATAATAATTTGTCACCTTTTTAGACGACAATAATAATTTTGTCACTTTTTCCAGACGACAAAAAACATCCTCAATTTTCTTGATAAAGGAAATATTGAAGTTAAATCAATCAACACAAGTTTCTGTGAAGCAATTTCTCAACCAGGAATATATCTTACAGAAGCGACAAATCAATGCAACGTAACATACTCATCATTTTATAAGACAATATCAAAAGAAGGCGCTTTAATGACAGAATTTTGTGATATTAATTTTAATATGAATTTTAAATTTTGTAATGTTTTGAATAATGAGCACAAAAAATCTGATTATGGAACATTCTGGGCAGTTGATTCAACTGTTCTTATTGAAAACTGTTCATTTCTTGGAAATACAGGACCCGGAAAAGAATTTTATCATCAATATTCTGGTTCAATAACAGTTAAAGATTCTTTCTGTGACAGGCCATATAATTCGTTCGGAACAGTTTATTGGAATAATATTCAAAATACATGTTTTATTCAAAATCTCACTCACTTTTCAACACATCTCTGTGAAGCAGGATTTATTACTAAATGTAAAGGACCTGAGAAATCTGCTTCCAATGCGATTCATCAATTATCATTTTCCATGAGACGAGTGCGTTAATTTTTCAAGAATTTATTATTATCATTTTTTATTAAAAAATAAAAATAATAAAAAAAAACATTTATTTAAAAGAAGATTAATAATATCTTCGTTCTTTGTCTGGAGTGCGACATCTTTAGCTGTGTGTCCTTCGCTGTCAACAACACTCAAATCGAGGTCTTCACGAGAAAGGAGAACTTTGACAACTTCGATTTTTTCGTTTTCAATAGCGTTGAAAATAGGAGTTCGCTTCATCAAGTTCTGACGGTTGACATCGACATTTTCGTGTTGAAGCAACTCTTCGACGAAACTAGTTGAGCCGCATTTAGCGGCAACATGGAGAGGTGTCCACTGGATTGAGTCGACGCAGTTCAAGTCAACGTCATCTCGATCGGCGAAAAGACGGATTAAGTCTGAGAAATCATTAGATGCAGCGATGTGAAGAGGTGTGAAACTAGAATCATCAGGAAGTTGTGGATTGACATCTTTGTCGTTCAGAAGACACTCAACGCACTGTTTGTGGTGGAGAAGAACTGCGTAATGAAGAGCACTGCGATTCTTCTTGTCGACGATGTTCTTCTCGATGCCTGGAAAACTCAAGAGAAGTTCTAAAGCTTCGAAATGTCCGTCACGAGCTGCCCGGATCAATGCTGTACGTGATGAGTTGTTAGTGGCATTGACATCAATGGATGGATCAGAAAGAAGAAGTCGCAGAACACGTGTGTGACCATTAATTGCTCTCAACATAACACTTTAATTGTCAACATCTTCTTACAATTAAAGAATTCTGTAACAAATTCAATTTATTTGATTTATCAGATACTAATGTTTTAAAAAAGCATATTGTTTTGATCAATTTCATCTAATTCAATATTGCATTCTATTACTGCTACTAAACAATTCATTGTTTCGGCATATTCCATACAATTCGTATTTGTCAAAAAATTAAACATCAAATCCCAAATAGGATATAAATGATTTTTGTAGATACTAATTCTCGAAATTAATGTAGAGATGTTGGATATAAGACTAGTCATATATTAAGGGTGCACACGAGAGGATCATGTAAACTTCAGAATTTAGAACCTTATTTTTAGGCATTATCTTGGCTACCTATTTAGGCTCGAAAAGCAAAAAATATCAAAAAATACAACTTGACTCCATTATGACCCTTTCATGGAGGTAGTTTTTATCCGCTAGTATTTTCCCTTTGAATCTCTTTACAATTCGAAATCAAATTCAAATCTCAGTAGAAGAAAGGAAGAATCGACTTACTACGGTTGTAATACGAATAAATACATATATTTAATTATTTTTATTTACATAATAATTGTTTGAAGCTCATATTCCATCAAATTTTTAAATAAAAACATTAAAATGTTGAAAATGTTCATATATTTTAATAGGGTTTTGGCACTTTATTGAGGAATTACTACATACATAGTCGAACTGAACTTGATATTTTGAAATTTAAATTATTTATCAAAATTAAAATTTAACTTGACATTAAAAAAAAAAAAGGTAGTGGGGCTTCCAGGCACTTCGTGCCCTCTAGCCCCGAAGATGTTTAGTATAAATGAAGTTTTTATTCGGAGGGCTTCCAGGCGCGTTGCGCCCTCTAGCCATAAAAAATTTCTGAGGACGAGCCAGCCGGTGACTTTTTTGTAGAGCACTCAAAATAGTATAACTTTGTCCTGACAAGTAAGGGTCTATCATCGCTACAGGAAAAGTTACGGGCGTTCCAAGGAAGTATACTTTGAGAAGCCTTTTTCCCTTATAGAATGAGATAGGACGGTTATTTTACAAAACTGACAACACTTTGACTGAGTAGTTTTTTATGCTGAACAAAAAGTGTCATATAAACATCTGTCAAAAACCGCTTTTTAACTTCACTTAAAATGCCACGTAAGCTACGTAAGAATATACGTAAGAGGAAGAGAGCATTGAAACATCCAATAGTAAGACTGACACCACAACAACAGTTGCAACAACAAATGCTGAATGACCCCACTATGTTGCAACAAATGTCAAGCAACCCTATGCTTTTAAACCGAGTTACTGGTGCACAGAGTGGAGGTTTAAGAGCGGCACTTTTAGCGAAAATGGCAGGCTATGGTGGAGCTGCAGACGGAACAGCTTATAACCCTCAAAGTCAAATGAATTTGAGTTCACTCAAAAATCAAATAACAGATGTCAAAAAGTCAAACATAGACATACAGAAACAAATAAGTGAAAACGAAAAGAAACTAGAATATGACAGACACACAAAGAAACTCAATGAGTTAAACGTAGAGAAAAAGAAGAAAGAAGAACAACTGAAAGAACTAAGTACAGAGGAATATGCGAAAAAAGTGTCAGAAAAAGCAGCAGAAGTAGCAAAAATGGAACAAGATGTCATAAATTTGAAAAACCATACTACTCAATATAAAGTACTGAAAGATGAAGAGATAAAACAAAAAGCCATGAAGACATATATGGATAGCGATGAGTATAAAAAAGAAGTTGAAGCAAATGTAAAGGCAGAAAAAACTTTTACAGTTGCAAAACCAAACCGTACAGTATGAAAACTTAGCACAAGAAAGTAAAAATAACGACGCAGCCATGCAAAAGGCAATGAAAAGCGCAGAATATATAAAAGCTAATAATGACTGGTTAGATGCCCAAGCCAACGCTAAAGCAGCCCAACTTATAGGGTCAATAAGGACAAAAATACAAGCGGATGAAGACAGTTCAAATGAAGCTTTAATGAATGCTGACTTTAAGAACGCCTTCGAAGCTCTTCATAGTAAGGTGAAACAAGTGAACGACTTCTCATCTGGAAAGAAACTGAAGTCTGAAGGTTTCGACAAAGAGTTAAGAGAAGTAGCACAAAATATGACGAAAATAACAGATGCAGCAACGAGACAGGCAGTTCAAAGTGCCTATGACGCCGTTAGAGCAACTGTTGTGGAAAGTCAAGAAAAAGAGTTACAACAGACCAAAACAGACCTAGTAAATGCTTTCTTAAAAACGAAAAGTCAGGTAGGACATTATGCTGCAGATGGAACATATGTACCAGCTGGTGGAACTTATATACCAGCTGGTGGAACTTATATACTAGCTAGTGGAACTTATATACCACCAAACCCTCCAAGAGAAGCACCCGCACCGGGACTACCTAAAACATTTACATCGTCACATGGACACAGACACAGGCATGCACCAAAACCAACACAACAACCAACAGTTCAAAATCCAGCACAACAACAACAACCAACACAACAACCAACAGTTCAAAATCCAGCACAGCAACCAACAGTTCAAAACCCTGCACCTGCACCACCTCCACAACCAGCACAGCAACCAACAGTTCAAAACCCTGCACAACAACAACCACAAACAGAGCAAGGACATAAAAGAAGTAGAGAACAAGGAAACCAAGAATTCTTAAAAATGCTTAAGGAAAATTATGGTTACCCAGATACTCTTGACTTTAGTGACAGATATAAAGAAGCTATTAGAAAGTTCAAGGAAGGAAATACAGACCCGAACCTATTTAGCTTTATGGTTCAGCACCAAATGGGATATAATTTCAAACCTGGAAAATACAAGCTCGCTAAGGGATATGATTTAATAGCATATCATCCAAATGACATGAATGAATTTACTCCGAGATATTTGGTGTCAGAGATAAATGATAATTCAACTATCTTCATGAAACGCGTAAAAAATAGAGACGGAACGAAAGAACAAAGGCTTATGAATGCGGATGACTTAAATAGGGAACTTGTTGAAAACGGTCTCGGAATATATGAAATGCCAGCAGATGAGGTACAAGAAACTCCACAGGAAGAAGTTCAGATACAACCAGACATGGAAGAAATAGTTCAGCAACAACAGCTAGAAGAGCCTGAAGGAAACGAACAAGTCCCTCCTTTGGAAACTAACTTCACAGAACTAGATGAAGATTTGGAACAGCCGAAAAATCTTGACCCTCAACAAGAGTATGCGGAGAATATGGAATCTTTCCAAGAGTCTAAGAAAAATTCGGCTGACATAGTAGAAGAATATCGAAAAATTTTCACCGACATACAAAAGACTCCAACACCAGATGAAAATATTCAGCATAGAATGGAAGTACTGAAAGAAAATGTAAGCAAATACAACAATCCTTTTTACTTACGACCATATAACGTTCAATCTTTGGCTGAACTCGGTGAAAATAAAAGGTTAAATTTCAACAAAACATATAGAAATGAAACATTGTTTAAAGTTCATTCAGAACCTAACCAATATGGAAACAAACCTACTTTTTGTTTCTGCAGACTATGGAACTACAATGATGGGGTCATAAAGCTAATCCGGATAGGTGGTTCATAAACTTACAACCACAATTCAAGAAGTTGTAGACGCAATGGAAGTGAATGGTGAACCAGATATAGCTGGTATTTTCAGCGCGGCTTTAATGCCATTGAAAGATATGAAACATGCAGATATTTTGGACCAGTATGAAATGAACATGGCTGATGGAAAATAACACCTGACGTTCTAAAACATTTATCTCAAAGAACTACACAGAACCATAAAGATGGTATATTTGGTGAAGAGTTTAGAAAGAAAGTTAGGGAGGGAGAAGGAAGAGAACCTATTGTACATGACCTTGCAAACGAAAGTTTACAAAATGTCATAAAAAACTTACTTTGCAGACAATGAACTGAGAAGGGATGAATATTTAAGAAAACTCAAATGGACAGTACCAAATGAAATGTTAGTATTGAAAAACATGTTCCTTGACAAAATAAAACCAACTACAGAAATAAATGACGCAAGACTGAAAGATTGGGTAAAAGCTTTCCCATTCACAAAAGATATTATTGGTAACATGGAAAGAAAACCAGAATGGCTACAAAAACATATATTTGGAAACGAGCATATTCCATATGGACAAGCTATATTTGAAGAGCTTGAACCGGAAACTGAGGAAAGAGTCATGCAAACAATAAGCGAAGACTCAAATACAAACTATGACAAAATCTTTCTAGGATATAGGTTACCTGAGATGGGCGACCAGAGCCCAAAGGCAAAAAGGACATGGGAAATTTACAACATACTAGGTGAACATGAGGCAAAGATGCAACAACTTGAAGCAGAGGGCAAGTTACCAAAAGCGACACCAAAGAAGAAGAGAAGAGTAGAACAAAGTGAAAGTAGTGAAGAAGTAACTTCATCTAGTGAAAGTAGTGGCAATGAAGGAAAAAGAAGAGTTAAAGATTCAGTTAAAAACTCAGTCAGGAAGAAGTAAAGCTTGGTCCGAGTGGGTTCTATTATGACACATAAATCAACTATTCTATATTTTTACCCATATGAAATGTACGCCGCTCAGAATATAACGCCAACAGTTTTGGATGCCATGAATGGAAATGTTTCCGAATGGATAGAATGCGACAATGCCGTTAGAAGGTCAGAAATAGTTCCTGGAACTTACGAATATACAACTGCTGTTTCTTATGGAAACGTAGGTGAGTTTGGAGAAGGTTCTTCAACAACAGTAGATATTGCTTGCGACAGGTTTCATATTTTTCTATTGACAACTCATTCTTATACGTGGAACAAGACATTGAAATAAAACCTTCTGCCAAGTTGTCTGACAAGAAAGGTTGCAATGGAATTTTCTATGTCGGATACCAATATGCTCCAGAAGTTTTCATGGATATAAGATATATTCTAACTCTGACTTAGTTCAAACAGTAACATGGGCAAACTATGAATGGTTCGCTTTGAGAAACTCAGTACAACCACAAGCTAGAGAACAAACGACAGTATGCAACTATTGAGAAAATAAGAAGACTTGACCCTAACGTTCCAGGAGTTTATGTTAACCTTTCTGGACAAACTGCAGCAGTAACCAAAGTAAAACTGAAACTTAGAGTTCCTTTGTCATCTTTCCTCATCTTCAGGTTTTTAAGATACTTGCCAAAACTGGGCAGGAAAAATTTCTATCGAACTTACTCCAAGCAAAAAATAACTTAGTCATTGCACCAACACAGACCCATTCACTATTACAGACGTAAAGGGAACAAATCAAACGTCATTCGCCGAATTTTGCAAAGACAAAGTTGACTTAGACTTTGGTTTCTCAAACTTCAACACTGAAGTAAACTATTATTTCAATGCTGCTGGAACTGCTTGGGACCCAGTTAAGTTCACATGCGAAAAGTTTGAATGCAAGAGAATAGAAAGCAGACTTGCAGTCTATATGTTGGACCCAGATATTTCAAATGCTTTAGCTGCCAAATATATTGCAGTTCCACTTATGTTCCCTATACACCAAATATCTGTCAAAGACTTTGCAGGTGAAGTTGGAAACCAAAGTGCTGACCCAGGTGCAAGAACAGATATTGCTTTAACAACTGCAATGAAACATGCAGATACTATGTTTGTACTGTTCAGACGAACTATAAATGACTATTCTTGTTTCTACAACCCTGGTATTAAATATCATATAAACATAGATGGCAAATATTATCCAAGAGAAGAATATTCTACAGTTGAGGATATGAGGTCATACAACTTGACATTAGATGCTATGAACTTTAACAACAACTTCACAACAACCATTAACCCTGAAATGCAAAGTTCTATTATGCCATATGTGAAAGTATGGACTCATACAGGAGGTCAAAAAACTCAATATACAAATGGAGACCGTTCAAACTTTTGGCTTGGCATTCCATTTGCTGACTCAGAAGACTTTATGGGTGGTATTTCAACTGTTGGTACAGTTCAAATACAATATATGGTGACAGAGACGGTCCAGATGAATTGAAAGCAAAGAAGTTTACAAAACCAATAGCACTTTTCACGAAGATGCTCTTTTGAAGATTCGTTCGATGAAACTGCTGGGGCTCCTCAGATTGGTATAACGAAGCTTCCATCGAGCAGATTTTGCAGCAGGTCAGTAAGTTGTTCTTGAACTGACTTCTCTCCGTCAAATATTGACAGTACGCCAGTTTTGACATAATATTATGTATTAAAACTTTCCTTTAGTAATATCGGTCAGTTTTGAAGTTATATTTTTGTCTGCTTCAAGAACTTTCACCATTTCAGTTATACAACTTTCTTTGCTTTATGAAAATATTTAGGTTCAGCAAAGACTGCTATTCTATAACATTTTCCATTGTTTGTTATAAGAATATTCTGTCAATGTATTTGTATTGTTTGTGTGTGTAAACTTTGTTTTGCTTCAATTCGAAGAGATATCCGAATACGTCCATCTTTTTATTCTAAGTAAAATGTCATTTCCGAAAAATAGAAGCGTAAGTGTTTCAAAAGGTTTAATGGCGGTGGCAGATGTTGAAGTTAAATTCACCAACTCAAACAAATCAAAGTGTTGTTGTCAATGTCAAAGACAGAGATGTTGAAGTGGGGAAACCATACGAAGACAAAGATGGTATAACAATTGTTCCTGTAAAAGAACAACATATCCTGAAGTTAGCAGAGACTTAAGTTCTGTTGCAGATATTCGAAACGACTACCAACAACTGAAAGACAAACTTAAAAATCAGGAGAAAGATTTGTCAAGCTTTAGGTATAATGTTAAACTTGGTCGAACACAACCCTGTAAAAGTGAACTCATATGTCATTGCACCTCATGAAGTTTTGAAAGAACTATTGAAACTTTTGACAGAGGCAGACGATATAAACATCAAGAAATAGAGCCGACATTAGTTGCTGTGGTGTTTATATAATGTCATTGACAAGATATACGTTATGAAAGGGGTGAAACGTTGAACTTAAAATATAGTTTCCCGACGTTATAAAAAATATTTGACGACCACAACATTTCATTAAAATTTATTTGCTAAGTAAATGGCAGAAGACATAATGGTTTATACTATTACGACTAAAAACCCTGAGTCATATAATTCTATAACAACAAACTTACAAAGTCCTCAAGGACGATATTGTAAACTAACCTTAAACACAATGACGACTAAAGCCTGTTTTGCTCTTTTGACACCAGAAGACTTTATGTTGTGAATGGTAAAAAATACTCCTTTGAAGATACTTATCAGATATACCACCAACAGGTTTTGTTGACTTATTTAATACTTAAGTACGGGTGTAACATGTGCTGCAACTAGAGCAGGTTTCATTATGTTTGGATGTCCGACTGAGTTTACTATAAACGATATGAGCTATAATACAAAACTTATATCTGGTTTTTACTACCAACAGTTTCCTATAACAGGAAAAGGTGTCATACAAGGTTTGTCTGTTCCATTGACTTTAAGTACACCTATTTATATATTGTTTCAAACTTAGGTTCAAAGTGTTATTCGAATGTCGACAGAAACTATTATGACCCAAAAGATACTTATGCGTATAAACAATACTTTCTCTGCTGGTTTGCCTATTGTTCATTCGAATGCAGAATTTTCAACCTTAGTGAACTCAAACACTTTGGCAAGTATAACGTTGACATTAGTTGACGCAAACTTTGTTCCTGTAAAACTTTTATGTCCTATGTATTTGTCAATGACGGCAGAAAGTTTCGAATTGGAAGATGCAACTGGTGAAAGTATTGTACTACAAGAACAACTTCAACAACAAATAGCTCAAGAACAACAAATGCAACAACAAAGTCAAGAATAAAAAAATATTTTTTTTATTTTTTATAAAAATGTACAGAATAGATGTTTCAGATTTTTATGACTTCCAAGCATTCAGAAATATGTGTCCATTTAGAGACTATAAAAAGCAGTCGAGAATTTGAAACGTTTAGTCATTTATGTTGACTCTGCCCAGAATGTTATGTCATGAAAGAATGGGATGTTGTCTTTAACAAACCAAGAGCAACAATAGTGTCTGAAGAAGAATGTAGACAGAAACTTAAGAAAATAAAAGTCGTACAAGTTGGCATGAAG